TATTGAGATTCCAGCATGCTGGGGCTCCATGCCCACTCGAGAAGGGAGAGCAGCCCAGAGCCTAGAGCCGGGGTTGAACAATGCTTAAGTACCCTTTTTTTGGGGAAGGCGGGGACTTTACATACATCACAGTCTCCTTTAACAAATCACCATACACCACGGGAAAGTCAAACAACAATTCTTAGACTTGATTAGTACATACATTGGCAGGAACAGGGCTGGCTGGAGTGATAGGTCATTCCTAAGGAGGGGGTTACATTTAAACTGATTGGTTCGGGCCCTGAATGTCTACGTGACAAGCTGCACAGGATCTTAGGCTATAAATCAACTAAATGGCCAGTAGGGCATTGTCTTAACTGCCTCAGGAATTTAACCCATGCTTTGCAGTTTAGAAGCAGGTTTACAATGCCTGGTCCTTTACATTTTAACTCAGGCTTTGCAGCTTAGAATCTTTACCCTTTCAATTCATATGCTCTTGTTCAAAAATTAAAGAATTTCAAGGTGGCTGTAGCAGAGCATTAGGCCAAGCATGTGGCCCCACAAGACAGTAGAGGGAGCCGTTGCAGCCACTACCTCTGCTGTACACATACCTACCTATATTTCAACTTAAATGCTGTTTAATGTGAAGGTCCTAATATTGTAGAATCCAGTCTAAGAAAATATTTTGCTTTTTCTTACTGACTTTTTGAGGCAGTTTTGGGATGAGTGTGTACCAAGCCCAGTGTTTGGTGATATCTTGCCCACTGTTGATACAGGTGGCATCTAGACTAGCACAGAAGATGCAGTGGGGAGCAATCCATTTAACAGTGGTTGGATATCCACCACCCAGATAATTTTTTTAATATTTATTTTTAGTTGTAGTTGGACACAATACCTTTATTTATTTTTCTGTGGTGCTGAGGATCGAATCCAAGGCCTTTCACGTGCTAGGCAAGTGCTCTACCACTGAGCTACAACCCTGTCCCCCAGAAAATTTTTGATCTGGTGTTATGCTTGAATTCGGGACCCCCAAAGACCACCAGAGACCCAAGATCGATGCAAGCAGCAAAGAGGTGTTTATTGCGAGCTAGCTTGGTCCTCCGCACGCACACACAACAACTGGTGACGCTGAGAGGCCCCGAGCCCAGGGTTTGCAGCATTTTTATACATTTTTTGGAGAGGGCAGGGACTTCACATACATCATAGCATCCCTTAGCAAATCATCACACACCACGGGAAAATCAAATAACAACTCTAAAACATGATTAGCACATTCACTGGCGGGAACAAGTTGGGTAGGGATGATTGGTCAGTGCAAAAGGGGTATTCATTTGAACTGATTGGTTTAAGGAAAGAGGGGTGTACGTGCTGAACTACATGGTTTCCCAATATGTTATCAACCACCATAAACTACTGGGAGGGTTATCTGGCATCCCAGGTATTTCCCTGTCTCATGCTGATTGGTGGCTGCTAGGGGGCTGCTATGGATCCCCACCTAGCCTGACTGAGTCAGGGACACCTGGCAGCAGATCTCTCCTGTTATTTGTAGATAAACAACTTAGCAGGGTGGGAATGTGCCTAGGAGTGCTCTGTGGGATTTTCCAAGGACAAAGGTCATGTCCCTTTCTTCGACAGGCTTTGCTCTGAGATAGAGGCTGGTTTTTCACTGGCCCACCAACCTAGAACAAGCTCTTGTAGAGTTTATTCTACAGCAAGTTCTTAATTGCTGTTAAACATCATGATGCATTTATAGTTCCATTTTTCTCCACAATATTCCCCAGCAGTGTTATTTCCTATCAAGTTTTCCCATACTGTGTGCTACCAGCTTCTAGACACACTAGCTGGCAGGGTCTGTAAGAGTTTTATCTATGCATGTGGATTAAAGATGACCAATATGGTGATTTCAGTTTTGTAGAGGTAAGGGTTCCTCCAGCCACAAATGAAATCATCTTTGAAAACATAAGGAAGTTGGCATCTGCTGTGACAGTGTGATTCATTAAAGTGATTCCCCAACTTCTTGAATCCTTGAATTCCCCTGCTGTTACCAAACTAGATCCACAGCACGGGGTATATGGAGTCCCTGGGAGATATAAATTGCAGGGAAACTTTAGCCTTGATCTACTGTTGAATTTGGGACTGGACAGCAGTGTTCTTCTAACCCCACTCATCTTTTTGAACCTGGGAGCAGCTGTGATGTTTCCTTTGAACAAAGCAGAACGTTCTAACCCTTTGGATGAGAGAGTCTTTTGAAGTGGCAACTGTGGATATGGAAGGATGAGTTCTGTTGTTAAAGGGCGAATGTGCTGTACCGGCACACCTAACCCTAACTGAATGATAAGAAAGGATATGGGTTTATTAAAAATATATATACAGCAAAAATATCCAGAAATTAATGGACATTTGTCAGGTAATATGTCGCTGTCACATTAGTCATTTAAGTATTTTGCATATATATCTTTCAATAGAAAGCCTTTCCTCCTTCCTCCTCCAGTGTGAGTTATTTGCTTCTATCGTTTTCTCTCCTCCCCTGACTCTCCAGTGGTCTGTAATCTGGTGGTCATCATGCTATATACTATGAATTTGTTCCTTGTCTGCTGGCTGCATTAGATTGATTTTGAAGGCAAAGACATCTTATTTCAGATGTGTATCCCTTGGTGCTAAGCAGCGTTTGGCACCCACCCAGTAGGTCTTCAGAAGGACTCAAACAATGAAATCCAAAGTACAAAATAAAACCTGGTTATGATCCAATTTATGTTATAGAAAATTGAATATTTGCCAAGTCAAAATGTGTCTTTTTTTTTTTTTTGGTACTGAGGATTGAACTCGGGGTACTCAACCACTGAGCCACATCCCCAGCCCTATTTTGTATTTTATAGTAGAGAGACAGGATCTCACTGAGTTGCTCGCTGTTGCTAAGATTGGCTTTGAACTTGAGAATCTCCTGCCTCAGCCTCCCAAGCCACTGGGATTATAGACGTGCTCCACCATGCCTGGCTCTAAAATGTGTCTTTTAAAGCAGCATTCTGTGATGATGAAACAATTGTTTTGTATCTGCATTGTCTGTCATGGGAGCCACTAGCATAAGTGGCTACTGTGCACATGAAACATGGCTAGTACAACCAAGGACCTGAATATTTCTTTTTATTTAATTTAAAATAGTCATGTGCAAGTGGCTACCTTATTGACCAGTACCATCCCAAGGCCACATATCTCTGTCCAAGAAAGACCAGACACAACTGGGTTAGCCAGCAGGCAGGCATTCATCTTGTTCTTATCACAGAGACTGAGAATGAGGGGAAGAGTGTGAATGATGACACACATAGGGATCTTTTCTCTTTACATAATGGGGTACATCAAGGCTAAGGATGTTGGTTTTTCTTGGTTTTGAAGCATGTAAAGAATTTGGACTTTAGTTGCATTCTTCTCACCCCAGATCCCAGAAAGTCATATGACAATCCTGTATGAATCCTATATGAAGCTCCTATACTGTTCACAAATCTGAAATGTCTAAAACTCTTTAAGGTACTGACTTGCTAGTGAACCTGAACCATACTGTGTACTGCTCCCCACTTTAACAAGGTTTCATCAATCTATAGAGAGATTGGTCTTCTTGAAAACTGCTGATCATCTTTTGAAATAGAAGGAAACACAAAAGTCTTATGATGTCCTAACTCCCCACCCTCGCCCCCCAATGAACTAAAGAGAAAGGTCTATAGTCACTTTCCATGTTGGGTTTCAGCAGATACTAGTTTCAGATGGGATGCTTATCTACACAGAGAAGTTCATCTCTGGTGTGTTGCACGCGGTTTTCATTTCCTGGATACTATGAAGACCATTTGGGGGAAGGAAATTTAACTGGCTTGTCCTGAGTAATGAATTGCTTGATTGCTCTTAAACATAATAATGTGTTTAAAGTTCCATTTCCCCCACAAGCCATTTACTTAAGGGTTTGGCTAATATAAATGGGGATGGGCCATCAGGAGAGATCCTGACATTATTGGGAGGCCAACACTGCTGTATTGAAACATAAATGTCTCCAAACTGAAAATGTTACCTTTCTGCCTATCAGAGAGGCCTTTATGGACATCTTGAGCAAGAGTCTCATCTTCTCCATATTAAGAGTGAAGTTTGGCTCTATCTCATTCATTTCACTTCATGGATGCTCATTTTGTCTTTTTTTTTTTTTTTTCCCTCCCCCTCCTTCTGTTCCTTTCCCCCCTTCAAGTACTATCACCCACCAGTTCTGGGTTTTGACTCTGAATGTGTGTCAAGGAAGGGGCAGATGGAAGCTGGGGGAGGGGGAGGAGGATTGTGAATGAGTTGCTTGTGCGAGCTGGGGTGGGGAGCACTTTTTTTTTTTAAAGTTGGGGTAATTTCTGATTCCAACTTGAACGAAATTTGACCCCCTTGAGTGGATCTTGGTGACTTTCTACTTCAGTGAACTAGGTATCCAAATACCTGACTTTCCCAAAATAATCCTGTTGATATTATTCCAAACCTGGTGACAATATAATTTCTGTATGGGCTGCTTGTAGCTTCCCAAGGGGTCAAGGGCTTGGGGAAGGCCATTGGCTACTACAGCAATCTGTGTACTTGAAACCCCAAAAGGCAGTTTTGAAAAAAACTGTCACTTTTTCCCCAGAGCTGTGACTTTACTGCTGTTCTCCTTGGTTTTGTTAGTGGAATAAGTGCTCCTCATTGCCACTTGGGCAGGGTCCTTCCAACCCCAGTGAGTCAGAAATCTCCAGAATTGTGATTGTTGATCAGCTAACTGCTCTTCCACTCGCTACCCTTCTAGACTCCAAACAAATCAAGTTCTGTTTCCACTTGGAGCCTTGGGGTCTTCACCCAGAGAATGTGAGACCATGGGAACCTCTTCTCTGGTCCTTGGGATGTTGAGATGTTAGCCATAGAGCCTGAGGGAGATGGAAGAGTAGAAACTTGTGTGCTAATTGGTAGTGGTCTGGAAGACCAGAGGTGTCCCTGCCTATCACAGCTGCCTTTCTCTCCTTTGGGTCCAGGCTGCTTCGAATGCTGCATCAAGTGTCTGGGAGGAGTCCCCTATGCTTCCCTGGTGGCCACCATCCTGTGCTTCTCTGGAGTCGCCTTGTTCTGCGGCTGCGGGCATGTGGCTCTCGCTGGCACGGTGGCCATTCTGGAGCAACACTTCTCCACCAACACCAGTGACCATGCCTTGCTGAGTGAAGTGTAAGTGTCTGCTTCCCTTGCAAAAAGTATGTGATATGTAACTACCTCAACATGTTTTCTGGAAGATACCACATACTCTTCTGAAAGAAAACTGATGCTTTTTAAATTCAAGCTTACTATAGGCAGATAGAATAAAGTCCACGGAAGGGGGGCATATGGGCCCCAGGGTGGGATCTCACCTGGAAACAGCAAGGTAAGCACACAGGGAATTCTACACAGCAATGGATACAGGGCACTGTAACAAAGTGACAGGTAGGTGCTGCTGATCATCTTATCAGAGAGTTGACATTGTTCCTAGGTAACAGATACCATCTGGTTTTGTCATAGATGACTGCCATCTTTGGAATGATAGGAGCTCCACTGAGGACTAGCCCCAACTCTAAGTCCACAGGAGTAACCTTTTAATGTTAATTATTCTGGAATAAGAATAAATCCCAGGGTATCCTCCAGTGCAGAAAAGGAGATATGCCAAGGATTTAGCCCCAAATCTCTGCCTTCCTGTTCTGGAATAATTTTCAATGGAGTCTTAATAACTCCCAAGCATAGAATCTCATAACTGTCAAGCTCAGCAGCAATATACATGTTACCTTGAAATACATTCTGCCTTTCCCATTCATTTAGCATTTTTGTTTTCTTTCCTTTAATTCCAAAGTTTCAGTGTTTGTCTTGTAAGAAACCTCTCCAGCAGAATGAAAAAAGGGACGGCTAAATTTTTGTAGAATAAAGAAACCATGTTGGAAGAGTTCTTAGGGAATTATCTGTTGATGAATGTCCTCCAAAGAAATGAGCAGGAGTAGGGTGGGTCATAAGGAGGGATCAAACAGGACAAGGGGCTCATTGTATACTATTGTGCAGAGAAGAAATATTTGCCCAGACCGAACCTGGGAAAGGTGTATTGATTTAATTTGCCAGTGATCTCAATCCATGATTCTCAAACTTCTGAGCTTTAAAAAATGCCCAATGCCTCAACAGACCAATCAAGTCATCATCTCTAGGGATGTGATCTAAATCTAAATTTTCTAAAGCTCCTCAGGTGATTACAATGGTGGCCAAAGCCGAGGAACTGTCATTCCAGTCTCTCAATTTTCACAGGACAAGCTTAGTAGTGAATTAACTTTCTGTAACTTAAGTCTACTTGACGTACTATCACTCGTATACTAAGTATTTCAGTAAAAAAAAAAAAAAAAAAAATACCTGCCCAAGTTCCTTCTTATAGAGGCCTTAAGGGCTGGGTTTGTGGCTCAGTGGTAGGGCGCTTGCCTAGCATGTGTGAGGCACTGAGTTTGATTCTCAGCACCACATATAAATAAATATATAAAGGTCCATTGACAACTAAAAAATATTAAAAAAAAAAAAAAGAATAAAAAGAGGCCTCAAGTGCTGAGTTTTATGAGTAACTAGGTCTGGGTAGGAAGCATTTTGAGATGGTGGAAGGAACATGCTGTCCATTGAGCCTGGGTTCAAATGCCAGCCCTGTCATGTGTATCCTCAGGTAAGTAACTTAACTCTTTAATGCCTATGGTTAAGTTCAAAATTAATCAATCACAGCATGGGACTTGGAAAGTAGTCAGAGATTCTGAGTGGGCCCTGCTCCTGACCAAAGGAAATTTCTCCCATGCCTCACCCATAAGCCCATTATGGAAGGCAGGCCCAGGTTGATGAGGGTGGGCGGAAGTGCCTGCCCAGGATGCCCAACGAGGCTGCTAGGGCCAAAGGAGGCAACTTCGCCTCATGTCCTCTCTTCAGAATCAAGAAACAAAATTTCTAGTTGACAGTGAACTGAATGTTTCAAGATCTCTTCTTTTCCTAGGATACAACTGATGCAGTATGTCATCTATGGAATCGCATCCTTTTTCTTCTTGTATGGCATCATTCTGTTGGCAGAAGGCTTTTACACCACCAGTGCAGTGAAAGAACTACATGGGGAGTTTAAAACCACCGCCTGTGGCCGATGCATCAGTGGAATGGTGAGTGCGAACCTTGCTATTCTGGCAAAATTGACCAGCTGAGAGTGGCTGGGGGTTTGTGACACAAATATTGTTCTTCCAATGTAGAGTTAGGAACATGAAAACCTTCAACATGTCATTGGTGATAAATGAAAATTTATGGCTGCTAATGGTAAAATGTTTCCTTTATGAACATGCAGATAAGGGTACTGAAGATTCATGTGGTGTTTCCACTATAGGAGGAGATAAGTTTCAGATCAGCCCAAGGTTCCCTTTTGTCTTTGAATATGACTAGAGAGGCCCTAAAGACATACATGTTTGCTGTGTGTGGTGGTTCACGCCTATAATCCCAGTGACTCAGGAGGCCGATGCAAGAGGATCACAAGTTTGAGGTCGGTCTCAGCAATTCAGTAAGGCCCTGAGCAACTTATACTATCTCAAGATAAAAAATGTAAAGGGCTGGGGATGTAGCCCCACTGGTAGAGTGCCTCAGATTTCAATCCCTAATACCAAAAGAAGACATGTTCTATGATAAATGTCACGATCCTTCTATTAATATTTATCAGAACAGACTGCACCAAGCACCTAGCTGTACTTCTCTAGTCACTGGGAGGTACAAAGGTTAAAACAGGTTCTTCCTCAAGGAGTTTATTTATAGTCTAAGGGGGTGCAGGGAAAGGAGGGGGTTAGCCAAGAATGACCTGTGGGCCATATGAGGCCTACTGCCTGTTTTCATATGGTTCAAGCTGAGAAAAATTTTTTTATCTTTATTTCATGATATGTGAAAATTACACAAATTCAAGTTTTGGTGAATGTAGTTTTATTGGCACATAATCATATTTTGTTTGCTTCTGGCTTTTGGCTGCTTTCCTGTTACACAGTGGTAGAGCCAAGTAGTTGTAATGGAGACCGTATGAGGCCCCCCAAATCTAGACCGTTTCCTATCTGACTTTTTATAGCCTTTGATCTAGAGGACAAATCTTGAAAAAATAATAATGGAAAGACAAGGTTAGAAAGTGCCACATCACAAAAGGTAACCTGGTGGTGGTAGGGGGGCTGGGAGGGAAGAAGCCAGTATTGGGTTTCATTTTTGACATGCTGAATTGCATTTTTTTGAAGATAAAATATTTATATATGAGTTTATAATGGCGTGCTCATGTCAAAATGTCTCACAGGAAGTTGGCTATGTTTGTGGCATTTGAAAAAACAGTCAGGTGTAAGAGCATTTTGGGAATCAAGAGAAGCACTAATGCGAAGGAATAAATGCCAGTCTCAGTGTTGAGCCTCCCCTAAGGGAAATACCTGCTGTCCCCACAGGGTGATAAGTTCCCTGGTAGGGGGAGCACTGACTGAGGGTGCCACTGTCATGGGTCTGGCTTAAAGCCTGGGAGAGCCCACTGTTTGTAACAGTCCTCCTGCGGGAGGCACACTAGTTGGGGTGGAATTCTCTGTGATCCAGTAGCACGGGCATGAGGGGTGTGTTGGGTCTGGGACGCAGAATACCTTAAGTTTCAGTGCAGATTCGGGGAGGGCTTTGCACCAGCACAAAGCAGAGGAAATTGACACCACACACGAAAAATGGGGGAAGAGGAACCAGCATGAACAGGACAGGAAGTCCAGAAAACAGATGGGGCTCCAGGGAGCCAGTCCTGTGACCAGGCTGGAAAGGAAGGTTCTGTTGGAGGAGGAGGGAAATAATACTGCTTGGGAGGGACAGGGATCAGATGAGGAAGGGCCTTGAGTGAAATTCAAGGATATGAATGAAATTGACAAAGACACGGGAGAGGGAGGGTTATGCATAGATCACCAATCTCCCTGTGGAGGGTAGATTTGAGAGGAAGGTAAGCAAGAGGGCCGAGCCACTGTGGAGATGTGAACTTGGCTCAGGAAGTAGGATTGTGAACAGGGGCAGATGCAAAGACAGGGGAGGTGGGGCTCTGGGCTTGGTCAGAGAAGTGAAGAGGAGAGGAGGTAATGAGTGCCCAATCTCTGGCTGTGTGTGTCATTAGAGATGGGGAAAGTAGATTCATTGTGACACATTAGGGCTTGGTGTAACCACCAGGAAACAGGTGGAGTTACCTAATACATCATGTAGAAAGGTTAGGATGGGATTTCTGAGAATGCTCTAGGCCAGGGTGACCAAGAGTTGGTCATTTAAGAGTGGTGGCCATGAACAAGTTGACATCAAGGAGGTTTGTGGAGGGGGATAGTGCTGGGGCACAATGTTGTCTACTGGCTAGGCTAAGGAGAAGGAGCCCTAGCAGGGAACTAAGGAAGAATGGCCAGAGAGGTGAGTATTATCTTGAGTTCAAGAAGGAAGGCCATGGCCAAGGTGATGCTCCCAAAGGGTCCAGATAATTTAACGTAACCTTATGTCCTATCAGCATATCATTCTTCCTTTAAATGGCCCCTTTAAAAATTTGAGCCAACGTCTCAAAAGTTGTGGCAAATGGCACTTGGGCCAGGATCTCTGGAAAAGCCTAGGCAGCCTACCACATTGCTTCAATCTACACATAGGTCCCTGTGCTTCGGCCAGACCTGCTGGTTTTCTGCCTAGGCTCCAAACTTAGGCAGGTTGCCTTCTGCCATCTTGAGCTACTTTGCCTCAGGCTGCTGCTCTCCTGTACCACTGTCGTCCAACAGGGACCCTGCCAAGTCCTTAATATCCCCTAGCACAAGTAAGATAAGGCTGTGAACATCAAGTTTACTGCTGGAGACCAAAGATGCAGCCCCTCCCAGTCCTGCCTGTCCCTGTTGTTCCCTCACATCCACAGGTCAGGGACTAACTCCACAATCTGCCGTTCACCCAGACCTGCCCCTTCTATGAGAAATAGGCCCCACAGGGAGCAGAGTATACAACCTAAGCTGCCTGGGGCTGCATGACAACCTGTAATTTTGTCCTGAGTGACACCATTTGTGAGACCTCAGAATGGCTCTGCTGGGCCTCTTTTGGATCTGTTTGCCTAATCTCCTGTGTGAAAATGCTTGAACAAGAATTACAGCACTTGCAAGGACAAGTCGGTCTCCACAGGGAGTGTCATTCAGAAGTATTTCTGAAAACTGTGTTCCTGCAGGGATGAACCACTCATCTGCTGACTGTTTAGTCCTTTGTTGATCTGAGCATCCCTACTCCCAAATGGGATTCTTGTGACACTTTTTGTTTTTTGTTTTTGGTACTGGTGATTGAACCCAGGGGTGCTTAATCACAGAGCCATACCCCCAGCTCTTTTTGTTTATTTATTTTTTGAGACAGGGTCTTGCTAAGTTGCTTTAGGGCCTCACTAACATGCTGAGGCTGGCTTTGAACTTGCAATCCTCCTGCTTCAGCCTCAGAAGTTGCTGGGATTACAGGTGTGTGCCTGGCACACTTTGGCTTTTTAAGGTTAGGCTCACAATACAGAGGATAGGGCTGTTAACAGGCACTGAAGCAACAGGCTGAGGTCAGAAAGTTGTATGAGGTTGGGGAGACAAATGAGCGCTGACCCTGTTCAAGAAGGCCTTGCTCTCCTCAGTCTCTGTGGGAGGCTATCCCAATAGCTCACTGAGGAAGCAGCTCTGAATGCTGGAGGCCACTGACAGGAACAGCTCCCAGCAGGGCACTGGCCTTCTCTCTGAGCCCTGACCTCCTCCGGAAGGAAAGACTCACCAAGACCAAGAATCAACAGTCCCCTTTGAGTCCTTGTGGTGTTATTAGAAAGATTGTAAAGTTTTCTTTTGAAGGGGAAAGAAAAAGAAACCTTAGTCTGAAGCAGCAAGATCCCAGGCACTGGGGAGGAAGATGAAACTGCTGAAATCGGCTTCTTTGAGTATTTTTAGAAATGCAAATGTTTCTGGAACTATAAATGTTTCTGGAACTATACTGAAAAAAGGCCTTGTTTCTGCAGTTTACCGGGCTGACCAACTGGAGGTAGCCCCTTTGAGCCTAACCCCCAGGCCAGCCTCTCACTTTCCAGGTGTTCCCTGCAGTATAAAAAGTCAGGTAGAATCCTCAGGTCTCACCATGAGCTTAAAAAATAACAGTCAAAGTAGAACTCGAACCTGCCCACACGCCCTGTGGATGCACATTCTGCGAATAGAAATACCATAAGGTGTTTGAGGCAGCCTTTCAAAGCTGTCTGAAAATTGGTAGTCAAGATAGGTTACGAAAGTTGAGTACTGCAATTACCCTCTTCCTGGAATTGCCCATGGTGACTTGTGGGTGAGGACCATGAAGCTTTTTTCCTAAACCAATTGCTTTGCTTGTAAAGTTGCTGTGAATCTTAGAAAACTAGAAGAAAATGGGTATCTTATCAGATTCAGAAAGAGTGCCTCATGGGAGGCCCTGTCACTAATTAGTTCTGTGACCTTGAATAAGTAAGGTCACCTCTTGGGGTTAAGACAGAGACCTGAAAAAGCCCCCAAGGTGGCTCTGGGGATTACCATTCAAATCCTCTATGTAGGGGAATGGTCAGCTCCAGCTTCCCCTGCTCCCCTACCCTGGCCATTTCTTCTAGCTGCCTTAGCAGGGTGTGGTTCCCAGAATGCATCCTGCATCCGTGGCTTCTGTACTGGGTGGGCCCAGAACTGCACAGTCCTTCCTCTGGGAGATGACCCGCTGGTGCAAACGATGATTCTTTCTCCTTCCTTTTGTTTTTGGCCTAGTTTGTTTTCCTCACCTATGTGCTTGGAGTGGCTTGGCTGGGCGTGTTTGGTTTCTCGGCAGTGCCTGTGTTTATGTTCTATAATATATGGTCAACTTGTGAAGTCATCAAGTCACCGCAGACCAACGGGACTGCGGGTGTGGAGCAGATCTGCGTGGATGTCCGGCAATATGGTACTTCTTTTTAATTTTCTCCCCCTTAATTTTTTGTCGTCTTGTTGCATATATCTGCACCTTAATTATTACAGAGGCATCCCCTTTACCCATGGCCTGTTTCACACATTCATCTATTGAATAGTTTACGCTCTTTCCCTTCATATACTGTTTTCTGGATGGAAGCATTGCTGAGGCTTTTAACTTGCTAAAGGATGTCACTCAATAGTTTTATATTTTTAAGTGTTTAGTAAAAGATGTTTTTTTTTAAAAAATATTTTTTTAGTTGTAGATGGAGACACAATATCTTTATTTACTTTTATATGGTGCTGGGGATCAAACCCAGTGCCTCATAATACAAGGCAAGCACCCTACTACTGAGCCACAGCCATAGCCCCAGTAAAAGATGTTTTTAATGTAACATTACTTTATAATGCAATTTAGTCAGACTTCTGGGTATCTACTATAAAAATATTTTTCTTTGTTTTATAACTGACTTTTTATCTAAAATGGTACATACTGTACAATCTAATTAATTTCTATATCCAACTCTTAAAGTTTAAACAATTAGTCATTTAAAAAAAGACTTTTATCTATACCAAAACACAACATAAATCCAGATGTATTTTTAAATCATCAGGATATATGCTGTGGAAACTGCTTTAAATGGCTTATTCTCATGAATGGGATCCTCAAAATAGGGAATGAAGGTTGGTTCCTTGTGACAAGCCACAGAAGGGGCCGTGGGTTCCTCTGGTCAATTAATTTGAGACTTAACTTTCTGCTGTGAGAGAAGGCAGCATCTCAAGGAAGAAGTCTAATTACTGCTTCTAGCCAGGATGCTAGGAAATCTGTTCCCTGGCAGAAATAGGAAAAGAGATCTTCATTAGAACTGAAGAAGTAACTATCCTTCTAGAGCTTTTCTGGAAACAGATGAATATTTCATTTTTGCTTGTTTTTCTCACGTGTCTTATTCTCAACACCTTGTTTTACAACATAATATGGAAATAACTTAAAACTGCCCATCACACTAACCTCTTCTCACCAAAGTCCCATGCCAGACAACACTGTTCTTTATGATGGGTTTAGAAGCAGATCCTGAAGTTGGTTTTTAAAGCATTTGTGGAAAAATATTTAAATATGTATCATTTCCCTCTTCCTTAAAAAAAACTTTTCACCACAAATTTTTGGGGGTCCATAATTATATTTTTAAGTCCTCTGTATTTGCCCAGCCAGTTAGCCTTGCAATCACTGGCTTCACCGATAGTTTCCCATCCTTCTAAGGCATGAAGATTTACTATGGGCCATCACAGGGATGGAAGGAATAAGGACTTTTTATGTTTTTTAAATACTCTTTCCTTACCTCCTGGGAGAAGTGTAAATTGAACTGTGCTTAATTTTTAAGTGCACACTTAAACGCATTAAAGAGGTAAAAGAGCAGTATCTCAAGGGACAACTGTCACTGTAGAAGGGACTCAGGATTACAAGAGAGATATCACAGAACTAGACTGTTTATCCAATCCTCTGGGATGAGGGGCACTAGTGTTTTTTTTTTTTTTTTTTTTAAGTTTCCAATTTGATTTTCAATTTAAAAATATTCCCAACACATATATACAATTTTTTTTTCCTGGTGCTGGCAATTAAATCTAGATTTTGTATATGAAGGCAATTGCTCCACCACTGAGCTACATCCTCAGCCCAGGCGTCCAAAATACACATCCAAAACTTTTTATTAGATTTCAATAAACTTAAAGTTTCCAAGTTTGTACTCTCAATTTTGACACTTCTCTCAGGTGGACCACTAGCCAAGAGCTTGAATAGTCAGGCCACAGCACAACATTCATATGGAAATTTATCTAATGTAATGCTTTCTGATGGGTCACCTTGCAGATACAGTTAATAAATTCACTATAGGGAAAACCTAGTTTTGAAACAATCTTTACAAATATCAACTCAAAATTGAACAAAGCACAATTTGTAGGAGGAAAAAACACCAAGCTGTTTAAATCTCTTACAGACCAGGTGACTTTGCTCTTGACCTATTGTCCAAATAGGGCTTACTCTATTCCAAAAAGCCTGTTCTGTAGACAGCAGACACCTCAGCTATTGCTGAGGAACAGTCTACAATTATGTTACAATTGGCAGCCAAAGTGGTGGGGTCTGTTAAGAACATGAGGTTGGCCGGGGATGTAGCTCCATGGTAGAGGGCATGCTTACCATGTGTGAGGCCCTGAGTTCCATCCCAGCACCCCCCCCCCCCAAAAAAAAAAAAAAAAAGCCAAAACAAAACAACAAAAACCCACCCAAGGCACTAATTGGCACTAACTTTCTATTGGGATTCACTTTGCAGGTATCATTCCTTGGAATGCTTTCCCGGGAAAAATATGTGGCTCTGCCCTAGAGAACATCTGCAACACAAATGAGGTAAACCTGCCATGGGTTAGGGGGCTCATAGGTGATGGCCTCATAGATTAGACTGAGATAAAGGGTTCTCCCAGCTGTAAAAGGCAGGAGAGATGGTCAACATGCTATCATGGACAGCTCTTTTATGCAGACTCTTTAGTGAACTCTGTTACCATCACTATTCAATCAGTTTTGGCCTACAAAAATGGTCATTTCATATGTTCCAGCCCCTTCCATGAAGGGCCTTAGGAACTGATGAGCTTTTCTTTCTGTCAGTAATTTAGGAGTGATCCCAAATCTACAAATCTCAGAATTGATTCTTTCTGGAAATTTTTAAAAAGAATACTTGTCACAGAAAAAATACCAATTAATTTTCATAGACAATTTCTCCTGAATTTGTGCATATACCAAGTTTTTAATTAGAGTTCACCATTAATCATTTCAGTTTCCTGACAACTTGCTGTTATTTCCTTATACACTCATCCTTAACTGGCAATATATCATAAGACTTTGGTTTTAAATTATCTTGATCCTACAATATTCTTTAGACATGGGCTTGTAATTGTTAATAAAGCAAAATTCTTAAATGCACCAGTGGGAACTTGCATAGTTAAGAAAACACCAATGTGATGTGCTTTTGAAAGACAACAAGTTAAGGGAATAGTCAGCCCCTACCCTAAAATGGATTGGCTCAAAGCAGAGTCTCCTATCCTAACCTTGGCTGCATATTGCAGTCACCAGGGAGCATTAAAATATACTGATGGCTGAGGCCCAACCCCTAGGTGTTCACATTCAATTGGTGTGGGGTGCAGCCTGGACATCAGAAAGTTTTTAAAGCTTCCCAGGTGATTCCAACGTGCAGCCAGAGCTCAAAGGGAACACAAGCTTGCTTCCAGCCTTTTAGAGAATAGGTACCAAGGAGAAGGATGAGGCAGCACCCCAAAATGGGTGTAGACAATGCAGTCCACAGAAAATGCTTATGCTTGTGCCTGTTCTTTCCTAGTTCTACATGTCCTATCACCTGTTCATTGTGGCCTGTGCTGGAGCTGGCGCCACCGTCATTGCCCTGGTGAGTAAGTGCATCAGGACCACCCTAGTCTAGCTCCCCTCCCCCCAGCCTCTAAATGACAGATTTCCCTTCCAGCTTTTGCCAGCCTACTGAAGCAAAGGATCCTGGCACTCAGCCTTGGGTAACTGTTCCTCGTATAAACTTACCTCATGTCTAGTTTATAGGAAGTAGTAGTGGCTGCCTTGGTATTGATTGTAAGCGATATAATTTGGACTCTGGAAAGAAGAGAGGGTACCAACACTGGTTGACTGGGCCTAGCATGCTTAATTTAGTACTTAGTATCATGACTTCATTCATGGACAGTTGTTCAAGTGAGGCACTGCCCATTTCTTTGTAAAGAAACCTTCACTTGCATATGGAAATATGCATATATACAGATGTATACATATATGATTGATCTCATTATATGTGTGGTAGTTCTGTTCTATAAAGTCATTTCAAACACTGAAATATTGAATATTGAACCAGGCCCCTAAGGGGGAATATAGAGTAGGGTTGATATAAGCCTCTGGTCATATCTTCACCAACTTGTCAGTACACAACCTTGTTTTGTGTGTTTTAGTGTAAAGACACCTTATTTAATATATATTGTTGCTGGGCGTGGTGACACACGCCTGTAATCCCAGTGGCTTGGGTGGCTGAGGAAGAAGGATTAAGAGTTCGAAGCCAGCCTCAGCAAAAACGAGGTGTTAAGCAACTCGGTGAGACTCTTTCTCTAAATAAAATCCAAAATAAGGCTGGGGATGTGGCTCAACGGTTGACTGCCCCTGAGTTCAATCCCCGGTACCCCTCCAAAAAAAAAAATATATATATTGTTGGCCATGAATTCAACATTAATGAATCAACAGCACCACCACTCATGCCTGAATGAAGTCTAACACGCAGATTATCTCTGAGGTACAGCACAGTCTATTTGTGAGCCATCTTAAATGGCAGCACTTGCTAGACCTTCACAAGGACACTTGCTTACAGTTTGAGCTGAAACAAGGTGGCAGAGTGTCACCTTGTTCAACCTCAGCTCAAATCTTACACTGCTCTGTATTTGTCCACTGACTAAGGAAGTGCCTCAAGTGCCTATTGTTTTGGTCACAAATAAATTTTAGTCAGCAGGCAAATTTTATTTTTAGGAATCTGCTCATAAAAATCAACTGTATAAAACACATAGGCCTTATGTGTGTAATTCTGGGATGCTACCTGGTTTGTGATGTGAAGAAAACCAATTAAGATTGGCAGAGCAGGGGCTGGGGTTGTGGCTCAGCGATAGAGTGCTTGCCTAGCACATGCGAGGCCCTGGGTTCGATCCTCAGCACCACATAAAAATAACTAAATAAAATAAAGGTATTGTGTCCACCTACAACTAAAACATAAGTTAAAAAAAAAAAGATTGGTAGAGTAAGGGGAGATCTCAGATGCTCGGAAGTGACTCATTCCCAGTTATTCTAACCATTAAGTCATTCATTCCCATGATATACTACAAAAAGCACAACTTATGAATTCATGGTGGTGACTTGTTCTCTTGGCTGAGCAACAGGCAGGAAGAGAACTAATTGCTGCTGAGCAGGCAGTTTTGGAAAGATGAGGGGAAATAAGATGTTGAACTTGATCTTTCTCATGCTGCTGACCCAGCTCTTCATCTTATTATTCTTGAAACACATCCAAGGCTTTTTAATAAGCTTACTGAGGGTAGAGCCAAGGACTTAACATTGTATATGTGTGATGAGAAAAAGTTTGTGTGCTAGATGTGGAAACCATCTGTTGTGATTGGAAGTGGGGCAAAAAGAAACGCCGTAGACTATGAGATGGCATCCATCCCTGCCCAAGCTTAGAAGTGTTGGGACATTGGCCCTCACTGCCTGTATCTTACTGTCCTGTTTTGTTCTCTTCCACCAGCTGATCTACATGATGGCTACCACATATAACTATGCGGTTTTGAAGTTTAAGAGTCGGGAAGATTGCTGCACTAAGTTCTAAATTGCATAAGGCCAATAAGGAGCTTTAGAGAGCTCTACTCTGTAGCGTGAATATCACTGACACTTCAGACTAAAGCAGAGTCTGTTTCTGCAGTTTTGTTACAGTAATTTGTAAATAGCTTCAGTTAACTCATTCGCATGTTAGAATAATATGACTTACTATACATGAATTACAAAATAATGATGTGGCTATTTCCACATTTTGAAAAGCATTCAGTTACTTACTGACATTGGTGAGCATCCTTTCAAAAACTTTCTTGAAAAACGTTGAGCAGTATCTAAGTGAAGTATTAATGCTTTGACATACCTGCATTTTCCGTTACTTATGCTTGCTTGATAACCACTTTCAGTGATGAAAATGCGAACAAGTGCTGAAGATGAAAAGAAATGTTTTAATCTGGATTTTGTTTTGTTACTGTAGAAGATATTTTGCAAATTTTAAATTTGACTTAAAACAACTTTTTATGATCATATGGTTCACTACCAAATAAATGCCCCCACAAATAAAGCAGATGAAAATTTGAAGGAAAAGGGTGTCACCCATCTGATTTCTCTGAAAAAGGATCAATGAATTATTTTTTTTTTGCATAACACAATCATTCCTTTAGAGCCTACAAAATTGGTAACCTTAAATGGTTGTCTTTTGGTGAGTAGTAACTGTTTCTTCATAGCTAGTTGTCAAATGGCATGTAAGATTTTAATGGGAAGAGAAATTGGGCCTGAATCTGAAGGTCTCAAATATGTTGTGAAGGAAGTAAGAAATACAAGGAAATTGAAATAGATTTATTTTGCAGGAAATATGGGGAAAATGGGAAAGAAGTATGTGCCACATCAATTGTAAAGAAGGATAATGAGGATTTTTACATTTTGTGAAATGAAATAATGGCAGTTATAAAATGAAAAATATAGTTTCACTACTAAAAATTTGTTAATTAAGAAACTGCATGCTTTGCTTATATAGTTCTTAATTTTGGTTTTGACATTTAATTTTTCCATGTTAAATATGTAGTTTAATTACTCAAAATAAACATTGTTCACACTTTTAGGTCTTTGGGGGAATTGATTTTTTTTATCCACAGGTGGAAAAGATCTTTGCATTATACTTAATTAAAATAAACAACGGGTTTCTGAACTTCTGCATTAGTCTTTACAGTTATCCTCAAAATGGTAAAAAGCACTCTTATGTTTCATTTTTGCTTTTTCTTAACAATAACTTCGGCCATTTTCCCCCCAAGTTCACTATATTTGTGTACTAACTTTTCTTCAGCCTTTTAATATGAAGCCAACTAGTAGAGCATGCTCTGTGTCTGACAGCTCTGCTAGCAGAATGAGTATTAATACCGAATAACCCTTGCCCCTTTACAGTTGAGTCCATCTAATCTGACTAGCAGCTTGCTTTGCCTTCTCACGTGCTCACTAGCCATCATGCTCACCCTTCTTTTCCAGATCCACTTCCTCATGATACTGTCTTCTAACTGGGCTTACTTAAAGGATGCGAGCAAAATGCAGGCTTACCAGGATATCAAAGCAAAGGAAGAACAGGAACTGCAAGATATCCAGTCTCGGTCAAAAGAACAACTCAATTCTTACACATAAAATGTTTGCCAGAGTGTTTCTGCCGACGATTTTACAGCTCTGACAAATCATCAGCTGCTCTGCAGTACAGATGTGTATCCCACCAAACTAATGTAGACGTACCAACATTTCACTGTCTGTCTCGAGCTACTGGGATGTATCTCTAGGAAAACCTTCCAGTGGGTAAATCTTTTTCTTTAGGACAAATATTGGAGGTTTCATGTCAGCCATTTTAAAAGGCAACACTTTTGACAAACTGTTCATCCTTTGAAAATCTGTGGCATGTATGTACTTATTGCTAGAGCAGTTCTATCAAGACAGGCAATGGGAATACATCATACTCCTTGATAGGGACCTATGACATGCCAGCATCAAGGGATGTGACCATAAATTCACATATGCTATCTGCCCTCAAAAAATAAAATCTACATAGGAAATAAAATGGAATTGGTATAAAGTTCCAGTTCTGACAGCTGACATTTATTTAACTTGGGCTCAAAGATAATGTGATTCCTATGACTGACTTTAAAAAACAAATTAGCACCCCTCAATTCCAGGACCCATAGGTTTCTCATTAGCTGAGGAAATCAATTTTTCAAAAATACTACAAAACGAGAGCTTACAACAATTGTGCTGAACCTAACACAGAAGAAGCTGAATTCTGACTTGGTGACAAGCTTTCCAGAATCAGTTTTATAATAGATTTCATTTACACAATGATAATGACAGTTTTCATTCTTCCTGGGAAATAAGCATCAGCTCTGCCTTAATGAGTATTTACCTGAAATTTCTAAGAATTTATATAACCAGAGGCCCCAAACTCCTTCACAGAATTTTGTTCCATAAATATTTTTAAGAAGTGTTACCTTATTAAAATGACCACCATTCTAAACCATTTGTAAGTGGTCTGAATGGTGAGTTTACAGTTTCATAGCAACTATCTAAAACCTAACTGCAAATTGACCACAGACCTCTAACCTCCTACTTTTATAGACTTGAATACATAATTTAAGTTAGGGTTGGTATTTATTTCATTTCAATTCTTATCTTGGTTTCCTGGAATAATGTTTAATGTTCGGCAAGAAAACTGCTTGAGTTTAAGCCATTTCAAAAGAAATTTGCCTTCTAAGTCATTGTGTTCCAGAACATTAAGTGACTATAGGTACTGGGTTTTAGTGATGGTAAACTTTGTGTTGTTCTTTTTGAAATGATCCATATAGCTGTTGGGTGCATCAGTGCTTTTCAAAGGGGCTGCATACTATAGGGTTAACTATGTATATTCATGTTAAGAGTTAACTTGTGGTTTGGCTGTTTCCTGGATTTAAAAACATACATGTGCAGAAATGTATTCAAATGAAAGGAAGCATACCTTTATCAAGATGCTATTAAAATTGAACATCAAGTATAATATTTCATTTGGATTTTTTTTTTTTTTGGTTCATGCCTAAAAATGCCTATTTGGATTTTTGTTTTTTAAATTGGAAGAAGCTCTCTTCTGTGTAGAACAGTTCCAAAGTAGCTTAGTGTTTTGTTTTCCTGTTGCATGACAGACTTAAATATTTTTTTTTCCAGCAGTGAGGGTGCTGTTAGAGTCCAGTGTTTTAGAAGAGGCAGTGTCTAAAGCCTAATTTTACTTTTCTAATTCTGGTAGCTATTACCAGGAATTTTTGAAAGTTTTGTTGAAGTAGTCTAATATTTTTTATGTAAAGAGCATTAAATTTTGCTATGTATAAATTTTTGTAACCTAACAGTGAATCAATATTTTCTATCAGTGCCAAGGGCTTCCTGTAGTTCTATTCAAGTGTTACAATAAATATTTGTAGATAATAGTCAATACTTGTGTATGCTTATTTTAAAGATCTATTTAGGTGGAAATAGTTGTGGATGTACTAAGAGTAATGAAATAAAATTATGGCTTCATTTGCTTGCCTTTTTACCATACATAAATCCTATCTTTCTCTGTCCTCAGTATGGTGTCATTTTTAAATATGCATTATCAAGATTTCACATTTGCACAGAAATCTAATCTAAGAGTGCTGTTTTATTTCTGACAAAACTCTTCAGCGAGAGCATTTTAAGAAAACATTGGAATCCACTGGGCTATATTTTGCATAAAATGCCACTAGCACTTTATAGAGTTCTATGAATGAAAAGTATAGAATTTTTCTGACTAGCTTCTTCAATAAAATAAATAAAAGCCATCTACCGATAAGATTAACACAAGGCTTACTCTTGGGCAAAGTAGAAATGGGGAACCTTAACAGGATCCATGTACCCTTGGCTAATTTTCAAACCCAAAGTATGGAAGTTGAGTGAAAGAAGAATTTATTTGGAAATGTAACAATCTAGTTGTAACAGTTACTCTTTGAAGCAGCAGAGCTAAATTTGTTACTAGGATTTCATTTTATAATTTTTTAAAACTAATCTGTCAGCATGCTTATGCATTTGGATATTCTACACCTGACCTTTCTCAGTGAGGACCAGCCTTTGTCATTATTGACACACTGACATTCTAAATGAGGTGCTGACTCTGCCCTTCATTCACGCCTGGCTAACACCCTGCAGGAGAACAAGTGGGAGCCCAATTAGCCTGCTATTTGTCACAGTACATAGTACCTTCTGTTCAAACAGCATTTTGTACAATTAACGTAAGTCACGTGAGTCTCCTGAATAAACTAAATTATGGTCTGATAAGATCACAAGCAGTCTCTTTAATTATTCAAAGTAATCGGGCCACCAAATGCAGAAACCTCTGGGGGGACAGATTTTTCTAGTTACATCTTGTAAAACTTGACTTTTAGGAGATGAAAAGTTAGAGTTACTGGGGAGAATCTACTCATTTAAAAACCAACAAGTATATTCATTAAAAATGAAGACCAGCTGGGCATGGTGGCATACACCTGTCAATCCCAGCAACTTGGAAGTCTAAGGCAGGAGGATTGCAAGTTTGAGGCCAGCCTCAGCAATTTAGCAAGAGTCTGACTCAAAAAGGACTGGGGACATAGCTCAGTGCCCCTGGGTTCAATTCCTAGTACCCCTTCCCCCAACAAAAATAGACCAAAGATTCCACAATAAAGATGTTATCTCAGTCTTCTATTACTGCTGTAACAAAATCTCATAGACTGAGTAATTTATAAAGAACAAATGCATTTCTTACACTTTTGGAGGTTGGGTAATCCAAGATCAACGGGCTTGCATGTTCGCGGTCTGGTCTCAGATTCCAAGCTGCCCCCTCCAACGGGGATGAATGCCGTATTCAAACTGTGGAAGGGCAAAAGGGCCTACTTAGTTCCTTCTAGCTCTTTCTAGCCTCATCACATTGGGGTTAAGTTCCACCATATGAATTTTGGAGAGACAAACATTCAAACCATAGTAGATGTGTTATTTCTATACCCCAGAATGGAAAAGTCTGACTTTATATCAGAGGGAAAACCTGAGCATATTGGGGAAGATAGCCTCCTGTTCTATATGTGGAAGCCTCACTTTGGAGAGGACTTGAACTTCCAAAATGTAGGCCTGTAGTTCAACCACAGTAAGATAAGTATAACCCAAGACAAAAATGGGGAGGGGGGGAAAAGAGTTCATTTTAGTGTAATGAATGAGAAACTATGGCTGGAGAAGAGATTTCACTTGATTAGATTAGTTAAAAAAAAAAAAAAAAACACTCCAGTGGATTAATACAATTTTTATTAAGAATTTTATCTGGTTACAGAGAAACATTTAGAAAGCACGATGGGTTACATAATTTCACTGTTGTATGTGAGAAGTCTGGGCAGCTAACATGATTACCAAATGTCATCTGGTTCTTCATGAGAAAAGCCTGTGGAACTAAATTAGGGAAAGAACAAAAATTAGACACTTTTATGATTCCTTCCTAAAGTTCTCATCCTTCCTTGAGGAAGGTTTTTGCTCTCAGAGTTTGTGTCAGGATCAACATCATAAGTTTAAAAAAAAAAAAAAAAAATTCACAATCTTATTTTTTAACCCAGGGGCACATAACCACTGAGCCACATCTCAGCCCTTTTTATTTTGAGACAAGGTCTTACTAAGTTGCTGAGGCTGGCTTCAATCCTTCTGCCTCAGCCTCCCCTGGCTATAGTGCCCAGTTCAACTTTTTAAAGGCAAGTTCAAGTATCTGACCATTTCTGTTGGGCTGACAAAATGAGCACTAATGGTTTGCTAAAGAGCAATGTTTAGGAAAACCATACCTTTCATCCTTGTCACTGGATAGCAGCGTGTCCACTACTGAGCATTCTCTGGTTATCTTTTTTGAGCTCTGACACAAAAGAATTTTGAAATTAGATATGAATTAATTTTATTAAACATTTTGATTTCTCTGAAGTATTTTTGCAATGTTGAGTCTCAAAAGAGTTGACTTTTAAACAGGAAATTTAGCAGCACATCAAAATAAACTGGTATACACTTTCAATACCTATAATTCAATCTTAAAGCAAAATCTCTTCAATGTTCTACCTAAACACAAACTATGAAATTTTGCCCAAAGAGCATAATATATTGAAGGGTTGAGGGCCCATTTGAAGTGTGGATTTTCTGTACTTTTAATTTTTGTCTTCAGTAAAGAAAACAGATTCCTGTCCCTAGGAGTTAAATCACAGAAGCCCTTGGTGCCATCCCCCAACCCCTCTGTCACCTAGATTCCCCTCCAAAGCATAGGCACCTTATCTGCAGATAACTCTTGGTCTTTCCCCTGCTGGATGATTTTCATATATTTCTCTAAAAGATTTTCTCCATGAGAAGATTTGTCTCTCACATCTTGAACAGTCATTTCTAATTCATTTTTCATTTCAATCTTCAGTGATTCTTCAATCATTCTCTATAAAATAGATGGGGGCCCAAAGAGGAAATAGATATATTTCAAAAGTTTTCAGTGTTTAAAAACCATAGTAATATAAACCTGATCCTGTAAAGTAAAACTGCATTCTAGAGTACCATATATAAAAATATATACATAAATATAATTATACCTATAAAATATATATCTTTAAATTAAAGTAACTGCTACCATCAAAGGGAGATGAACATATCCCAATGAAGGAAGGCATTAATTTGCCTAAAGTGTACTGTGCTTTTAGACCCATATTAACCAGGAGTCCAGGGAACATTCATATGGAAGATTAATTTAAGCAAGACTTGGCAAGCATGCTAAATGGCCAGAGTAATCCATCTGCCTAGAACTAAAATCAGGCCACAAAAGGCAAAAAAAGAACTATGGGAATTATGTATGTCTGGAAGCAGTTGGGGCCTGGCACCTGTCTCCCCTGGTTCTTCTAGTCCTAGCTAGCTGACTTAGGAAGCCTCTTCTTTAAACCCCATCTATAAAGGGAAGCTCCACAGCAAAACATAGTCCACCTCATAGCCCTATGAGTTTAAAGATCAGATGAGCATGTATGCAAAAACTGCTTTCAAAAGCCATCCTTGGGCTGGGGTTATGGCTCAGCGGTAGAGTGCTCGCTTAGCACATACGAGGCCCTGGATTCAATCCTCAGCACCACATAACAATAAATAAAATAAAGGTATTGTGCCCAACTACAACTAAAATAAATAAATAAATAAATAAACAAACATTAACCGCCCCCCCCCCCCCCAGCCATCCTTTATCATCACACTCAGAAGGTGTATGCTCTCCAGCCTTTCTCGTGATAGTATGACAAGGAGAGGAGGGGAGGCCTCTTCCATTACCTGCCACTTAGGATTTCTGGACACCATTGGCTCACCTCTGAGCTCCAGGTAACCTTCTGAAGGCATTCAATGGAGAAACTACTACAGAGACCTTAGCCAAATATATTACCCTTCCCTGATCCAGTTTTTCCAGTTCTCTTCGTTCCCTTTCTAGAGCTTCTTGCCGTTCACTCTGCCTTCGTTCTTCTCTTTGCCTTCGTTCTTTCATTTGCTGCTCCCATGATTTTTCATCTTCCTTTTGTTCTCCAAGTTCTTTCTGATCAATACCTAACAGAACATAAAATAGTGAGTAGCTTCCAGCATCAGATTTTCTAACGACTACGGGACTGTTGGATTTCTCGTGGACTGTTGACCTGCTTCAAGCTGCTGCTGTTACACTTTCATGATTTGCAAGCCCCTGCACATTCCTAGCACCTCACCTTTTACTCTCCCCAAGACAAGTATGACTTGACTTCACCATGAAGGACTCCAACTGTCCTCCCTGAGTGCCATGTTTTCTCTTCCTTTACTTATCTCCCTCCTCCAGCCTTTCTCCTGCAATCCTACATTTCTGCCTCTGCATTTGATTTGGATTCCACCCCTATCTTCAGGACCCAGACTGAACCACTAGCCCCTATTTATTTATGCAGCAGTTTCCTAACTCTTTCTTCTTCCCATAAACATATTCAGGTCTCTGATACCCCAAAGAGGACACAACAAACCCCCCACTCTCCCCTGGCTGCTCTAGCCATGTTACACTGTTCAGTCCTTGCTTGCTCTACACTGATGGTGGCCCTTCCTGGTGTTTTAGTGATCACGTCAGCACTGTTAATTCCCTTGTCTTTCTCTAGCCCCACACTCTCCCCAGACTCACATGCATGTTTCCAGTGGATTCCCTGACAAAGCATGTGGAAATCCTACAGCATGGGCTTCATCCTGAAGTACTGGTAGCCCTTTAATCATGCCCTTTCTAGGCCAGGAACAGTGGCATATGCTTGTAGTCTCAGCTACTTGGGTGGCCAAGAGACAGGAAGACTGTAGGAGCCCATGACTTTGAAGTCAGATTGGGCAACACATCAAGACCCTGTGTTGTAAAAACAAACAAACAAGCAGACATGCTCTTCTTACTGTCTGTCCATTGGGCCACCAGGGCTGGCAGATTCAAATTCCTCATCCTGGTGCTATAGAGAGGGTCCTTCCTTCTCACCACTTCCAGGGAATACTGAATAATGCAATCAACACTCAACCTGCTGTGAGTTTCA